GTGCTCTTCTGTAAAATGAGATTGACGATCCTGCCTAACTCAGAAACTTTCTACTGGGCTAAGCCATTACTTGTGAATCCACCCCCCTAGTCTCAGAAAAGTGTTAGGACCATCTCAGAGCTCTCGGCTGTGTGAAGAGGACTCTGATGGCCATTCAGGCTGGTGAGTGTCATCAGGAATGAGGGACAGGGTAACCATGGCTAACATCTGTTCAGACAGTCAGGGATGTGGAACTCTTGTCAAATGAGGGACCTGAACTATTGAGCTTGACTTGGCCACTTCCAAATATCCAGAGAGAGAAATATCTAAGAAGACTTCTATTGCTCCGCCCAGGTCTGGGTCAGAGCCAGGTGCCAATAGAGTCAAGCTAGAGGTGGTAGATTTCAGTTCAGTCTTTGGATACATGTTTCTAAACCCAAAATGTGCTTCATCAAGAAGTAATGAGCTCCCCATCACTGCAGTACTTGAAACCATGGTGAGCCTGGCTGGTCACACTTCCTGTCCAGCCAGGAAGCTGGGACTCAGGCTTGATGCTGGCCTAGTCCCCTTTCCTTCTCTGAAGTTGTGAGGGTCCTGACAGCCTGTCTTAATCTATGTGCCTATCTCTGTTCCTTTATCCCCAGTCTCTGGACCAGTAGGTGCTCACCCTGTGTCTCCAAAGCCACCGTTCATGAATCATCATTCCTCAGTGCCTGCACACATCAGAAGAGCCCCAGAACCCCCAAAACCTCTATGTGCCAGCAATTTGTGCAGAAATCACCACTGTGTGTCCCAAGTTCTGCTCATCAGGACCTCAAGCCATCTGGAAAGCTCCCAGGTTGGGATTTGTTTTTTCCTAGAACATGCCCACAGAAATGCCCATGTGGGGCCAGGGATTTAGCTCAGTGGTGCCACCTGCCTGCCTCACAATTGCAAGGTTCTGAGTTCAATCCCCAGTACAAAAAAGAAAAAAAAGAAAAGAAAAAGAGATGCCCACGTGGGGCTAGGTGTAACACTGCACACCTGTAGTCCAGCACTTAAGAGGCTGAGGTAAGAGGATCACTGTGAGTTGAAGACCAGCCTGACCCTGTTTCATAGAAAAGGAGGAGAAAAGAAAGGCCCGCGAGGGGGCAGCACCGGCCCAGCTTAGTAAGGCTGCCTGCTGCAGGTACACTGGTGGGCCCCTGTGAACCATGGTCTCCCAGGGACAGGGCTGGGCGAGGGAAGGAAAGAAGCTGGCTCATGTGGCCCTGCTGTGGCTGTTCCTGTGCACAAGTATCAAGATTCCTCTCACTGTTACATAATTGAGGTATTTTTTTTCTCCTCCTTATTTTAGATCGTGGTGCCATCTGCCCTGCTTTTCATGCATCGCCAACTCTGGGCTAGAGGTTAGAGTTGGTGTGGCCACTGAGCTCTATCCATCTGGCAGCAAGAGACTGGGGAGAGCCTGTTTCCTTGCCTCTAAAATGAGATCTTGATCCTACCTTGCCTACCTGCTAGGGTAGCTGATAGAATTAAGAATTGGGTGAGAGGTGGCATCAGTGGCAGATTGGCTGGGTACCATGCCCAGCCCTGCACACACACACACACACACACACACACACACACACACACACACACACACACACACA